CAGCGCTGTCGCTGCATGCAGCCAGCACCCGAATGTCAAATGAGGAGGCAGGCCCTTTCCTTTATCCCAGTGACTTGCCTGCGTCCAGTCCAAGAAGCTTCCAGTAGGCCCGGTAGCCTGAGGCCCAGTCACGAGGAATGCAGGCATTGGGCCTGAAGTAGTTGCATGTGCCTAACTGCTTTCGGCCTGTGCTTGGCCCGGTACCCGTACTCAGCCCAGGGCCTGCTTTACATTCATTCACACGGGCGGCCCAGGGCCTGAGTTCATTCAACCAACTGATGCTGTGCAACTGCCTGAATTTCCCCATTTGCGGGGGTACCCTGAAAACGAGGCCCTGAGGGCCTGTCGTGCCTGCCTTCACTTAGGGCGGCCAACCTTGCTGCAAATAAGGCCCGTAGGGGCTAAGCGGGCATAGCCTCGCATCTTCTTTATTCAGCATTTATTATTTTTGCTGGGTTTTGTCTGGACTATTTTTGTCTGTTTCACATGTGCTGGTTTGGACTTTTCCTTTGTCCGAACAGGCAGATGCCCGTTCGGGCCAGGGGACTTCAGTTTCGGCCATTGTAGGCCATGTTCAGATTTGTCCGTACGTGGGGCTGGACCAGGCATTCGTCTGTTTGTGCCTGGCCCAGTCGTCAGGACCCCGCTGCATCAGCAGGATTGCCTGGACGTCCGGTAGGGACCCAGGCAGGCCGTTTTTGCCCAGGATCGTAGGACCAGGACTTGGGCCTGCGATCAGGACCATGGATCGGGCAGCAGATCCGACAGCAATCGTCCCATAAAACATCATTAAACCACGCAATCGTCTTTTCAATATGTGAGTCATAAAACATCACAAAAGACAAAAAAAATATCAAACCACCACCCCTGTCGTTTGTGCGAAAGCCCCCTGCATGGAGAACCACTCACATACGCAGCCACAATCCCAACAAAGTAGAATTATCTGATCTAGGGCGACACCCACGAATAGATTCGAGCATGTTATCCGAAAAAAAGAAAAAAGGAAAAAAAAAAGACAAAGTCTTTAGATATTACCATTTAATTGACAGGCCCTGGGTAACTCAGACTGATTTTGTTTCGCTCATCTGATTGCATCTGGGTCGCCCTCGATCTAAAGGGCGAACCAGACGGTATGACGCACCGTGCGGGTCCGCTTGTGTGCCAAACGCACGGAATTTTCGCACGGCGTCCGCTTACATGAATGGTTCACGGGTGTACCAACTGAGCTAGGCTCGCTGGTAGGTACAGTGCAATTTTAGGCCAAATCAGAATCTCAATTCTCTCAAGCTATATGCAATGCGACGTTAAATATGAATGCAGATTTAAAAAACAGATGCAAAATGTAGTTCATTGAACTTCATTCG